CTTTGTTAAAAAATCATGTAAATTTAAAAATTACACCAAAGCTCCTAAAAGTGCCGCAAATAAAAATCAAATGAATTATATTTTGAAGTAAAAACACCCCCGATTTCTTACGAAAAATCTTCCTCCAGTACTAGCAAATCAATTTTAGTGTATTTTTTACATAATTACTCAGTAAAAACCCGGATTTTCGTTTTTCCCCATTTCCTCGGACACATTTGATTTTTCAGACTTTGAAATTTGTTTTTTTAATATATCTCCCTAGAAGGGTTTTCCAGGCAAATTATCAGAATTTTCGATTGTTTTAACCTGGCCAGCGATTCTTGATATTTACAGTCATGGGCTCTTAAGGTCATATTAACGCATTTCTTCCTGCAACGATTACAATCTTTCCGGGCGCAAATCGCGCGCGCGTTGCTCGGAGTTTATTAGCAGGGGATATTTGGAGTTTGAGTAGCCAATCAGAGTGCGCCTATAATGCTACCCACTCTATATATAGTCACAAGACTGTTAGCCTTTAACTGACTTTACCAAAGATGTGTTACAGATGTTTCGCTGCACAATAATATTGCGTGACGAAGTAATATCATCCCTTATTTTCCTCTTCGTTTCGTGACCATCAAAATATTGACTACAAAGGAGTTAAAACATAGAAATGTTTGAGTTTACGCATTGTAAACGACTTACCGAGTTCAGGATTATCAGGGTACTTGGCCTTTCGCGATTTTCCATCTAAAATTTGAACAACCAAACAAAAATTAGTTCCCAGAAATGAGGAATAACTCCATTACAACGTATTTTCGCTGAGCGAAATGAAAGACTTGGACGACACAAACAAATAAACAAACAGAATGTACAGTTTCTGCAAGCCATAAGTCATTCCTAAAATGGTTCAGAGGAGTTGGTTCCTTGAAAAAAAAAGCAATTATAAATTCCACTATACAGCAATCAATGCCCAGCCCCTTCTGCCCTAAACCAGTTAGCCGACACAAACAAACTAACAAACAAACAAACAAACAAACAGAATGTACAGTTTCTGTAAGCCATAAGTCATTCCTAAAATGGTTCAAAGGAGTTGGTTCCTTGAAAAAAAAAGCAATTATAAATTCCACAATACAGCAATCAATGCCCAGCCCCTTCTGCCCTAAACCAGTTAGCCTGGCTCCATGTATGATTGTGGGTTGAGATTGCTTCTGATTGCTTTTGTGTTTTAAGTCTTGTCTTTACTTTCTGGGTGATTCTTCTTTTCTCCCTACCGAATTGAATTGCAAAGGAACATTTCTTATAGGACGAATGCAATTAACGAAAACTTGTCTTCGTATGGCACAAATCTGGTCTTCATTGAAGAAAAAAAAAAGGGGGATTTGGCGGGGGCACTTTTCTTCGCTCTCTAGGGTATAGAAGCCGACTAGAAATCACTGTAATTTATTTAAAACTACGTTCTTATTACTTGGACTGAGCAGAATTTATAAACGCATTTGAGAGAAATTACATTTCAAACGCACACCTGGTGCACTGGTATCTTCATCTCCTATAGTATCCGTGATACTGTTGTCTGTGGTGAACCGACTCGTTACACTGTTACGGAAACCGCTGCTGGATGGCTCCGTGGTAGATGTGCTAGTGGCGTTTCCATTGTCGTCAAAATCATACGGGGATCGGAGAGGTGCCGTCTCCCCTGGGTGATAGGAGCGTCTCTAAGGAAAAAAAAACCGAAACAGAACTTTTCGTTTAACAGGTGAAGAAAGATACAAGAAATCAATACGTTGGGTGAGAGAAACCGGAATGAGAGAAAATGGAATAGTCTTGCGAATACGAACAGGGAGGGGAGGGAGAGTGCATGAATTGAAAAGTGGGAAGAAAGAAGGGGAAAGGAAAAAGGTTAGTTCACCCTTTCACCCTCAAGATCCAATTGGAAATTCTCTCCTCTTACCACGATACATTTCCTTGAAAATTAGAGGGGAGAGTTTGGTGCTACTTCAGAATGATACTCTCCGGCTGATAAGACTGTCTGTTCTCAAAACGTATTTACAAGATAACAAACTGGAACCTCAGGGAGAAGTGACATGTTGATCAAGTCTGGAAGTTAAAGAGTTAAAGATTCAAAAGAAACCTACTTGTTTCATTTGTAGGTAGCTGACAATGAATTTTGAACCGACGTGACAAGCGGGAGAAGGGTAACATTGTGGTACCTAGAATGGAGATGAAACAGTGAAAAATTGCCAAACAGTATTTCCTCAAACAAGCGGTTATTTAAAATATCGGCCAAAGGA